CGTTTAATGAGGATCGAAATAGCCTCCTGATGGACATTTTGAATGACCTGATAATAAACAACACTGATCGCAATTCAGTTGACAGATATAGATACTTGACTGTGTGTGAATTGTCCATTAATTGTTGAATAACTTACCAACGCCTGTTGGTACATTTCGGTTTCTATGAGTTTTTTTTAATATTCTGCCTCTGTAATACAATCGTATGGCGAATAATAAGGTAACCGGTTTATAATGATCACTAAAATTTGTAAAATATTTAATTATGAATAATATTTAGAATAAAATTAGTAATGCATATTAATTGATATAAAGTATACTATGCCCCGCTTATTAATACTTATTTTGGTTAATTTATAATGAATTATAATTTTTAATTGCTTCTCTTAATGGATCCAAAATGAATTTAGAAAAAAACAAGTTGATGATTAACAACAGTCGACCAATCGCTTATCTTTATCTGGGACACATAATTAATGCCGGCAAAGAAAAAAATCAACCGAGGCAAGTTAGGTAAATATAGTAAGGCAGGCGCGCATTTTTACGTATCGGACAGACGCATTGGACATACGGATTTGAAGACTAGAATATTTTCCATTACTTTAAAGGAGTCAACGCTCATTGATTCGTACCGTACGTATCGCATGGACGGATATGGATATCCGTTAAGGATTCTTGAACAAGAACTAAATCCGTCAAGGCGATTCCTGCGGATGACGTAATTCGAGAATGTTTATTGTTGTGATGAAAATAATGATATTAATAATGATTATGATACGTTCAATGAAAATATTATTATAGATTATTAAGAAAAGTATTTAAGAAAAGTTAATGATTAAGTAGAAAAGTATAGTAAGCTAGTTTCGAAAGAATCGAGGGTAGCAAAAGATTATGTGCATAGGATGGAAATTAAAGATAGTATAAGTTTTAAAGCAAAAACGTATCCAATTCCAATAATAATTCCAAAAATAAAGTTAAAAATGAGATTAATAAATTATTAAATAATGGGATTATAGAATATGCTGATACACAATTTATCAACCCAATAGTTATAGTTAAGAAAAAGAATGATGAAATTCGAATTTGTCTAGATGCTAGGACAATTAATAAAATATCAATGCCTCAGTAGAAGCAATTTTAGGCAGAATTACTAATACAAAATTATTTTCAAAATCTAAAACATAGTTTTTGGCTCATACCGTTACACCAAGATTGGCAAGATTACACTGGATTTTCAATAGATGGTGTAATATATAGATTTTGCGTTGTACCATTGGCGGAATAAAGAATGCATGTGCAAGTTTAGTTACAGCATTGCACAAAATACTAAACAAATATGAAACATTCCTACTTCATTGGTGACGACATCCTTATTTACTCTGATATTGTTAATGAACCTTCAATCATTTGAACATAGTAATGAAAGCTCTTGATGATGTTGGCCTAAAATTAAATATTAAAAAATGTAATTTTTTAAAAAAGAAATTTTATTTTTAGGTTATAAATTAGATACAATAGGGATAGAAATGGGGCGAGATAGAATAAAGGTTATTAAAGAATATAAAGAGACCTATAAATTTTAAAACATTGAGAGGATTTTTAGGCATGATAAATTACTTTAAAAGATTAATTCCAGATATAACAGCTAAGGAAATACCATTCATAGAACTGTTAAAAAAAGGGGTTAGTTGGCAATGGACAAAAGAAAGGGAAAATGCGTTTATCACCAAGAAAATGTCTTAATGCCTATAACGACCCTGACAATTCTATATTTTCAAGGAAGTGTAGGATTTGGAGTGGTTTAATCTCCCTCTTCTATTTGACATCCTCCTAGGTATAGTACCATTGGATTCTGGAGTGCTACACACTCAGAATGTGAATGGAGGTTTCGTCCTCCTCCGCACAAAATCTGCACACACTATCTTCTACAACTCTCAGTTTACTAAGTTGTCCTTTTATTCGGCAATGCCCGGTAAGGATTCATGTTACAATACGTAGCTTATTCTTGCTCAGGCAGATGCAGGCTTCCTGGTTATATTCAGCCAGAAATATCTTAGCCTGTCTCAGCCCCAAGAGATTGTTCCAATCATCGATTCTTCTACTGCCCAATTCTTTTTTAATCTGTCCTAATATTATTATACTGCTGATACCGCAGAACGGCTCAGATCCTACAAAGGGTGTTTGAGCCCCTTTTTTTGCAAGACTATCTGCAATATCGTTGCCCTGTACCCCGTTATATTCCGGGACCCAAGTGAGCGTAACTCTATTTTTCTCGCCTAGCTCGTTCAATTGTTTTAGGCATCTCCAGACCATTTTTGAGCTGATTACATAAAAGCTCAGCGCTTTGATGGCTGCTTGGCTAACGGACGTGATGATAATCTCTTGTCTATGATAGTTTCTCTCGATGTTAAACTGGATACACGATGGCATGAATTTCCGCCTGGAAGATGCTTGGGTATTTTTCCAAGCTTTCGGAATGCTTGGTTCTCGGCCCATACACTCCTATTCCAGTTTCTTCTATGGTTTTGGAACCGTCTGTATACCACTGAATAGCATGTGTTTCGGTTGCAAGCTCCATTCTTTCTTGCAGCTCAGCTCTGTGGTTTTGAAGTTTTTCACAAAACTGTACTTCTTTATCATTTCATCCTGGGGCATGTCCCAGGTATCTTTAGTCCTGAAGCAAGTAGACTTTCGTCTGATTACTCCGTTCCTGATCATTCTACATCGTGTCCTTTTTGCCACATTCTTTATCATCAAATATAGAGGGGTGAGGTTTAAGATCACCTCTATTGCGGCCGTAGGACAGGTTCTCATTGCACCGGTGATGCAAACATAGGCTAGTCTTTGTACTTTTGAGATATTAGCTCTCGTAGTAGCTAAACTAGTGGCACTCCAGGCTATAGCCCCGTAAGTAATGATTGGTCTCACAATTGTAGTATACATTCATCGCAGTATGTCTGGGTTACATCCTCATCGTTTACGCGCAATGTTTCTGCATACCATTAGGGCTTTTGTGGCCTTATTTACTACTTCCTTTTTATGTGAGAAGTGAGAAGTTTGTTGTCCAGGGTTAGGCCTAGATATTTGACTTCATTTTTCCATTCTCTATCTATCCCGTCTAATTTAACGGTTTTTAAGATTATTTTTTTTTTTTCATTGAGAAGGCTACTAGTGTTGTTTTTGTAGGGTTTATACGTCCCACTTCACGACACCATCTTATACTATGTTCTAGTCCTCGTTGGACTATATCACACAGGATATTTCTAAACTTGCCTCTAGCAAATATGACTATGTCTCGGCATAACCTTGACAGGGTATGCCGAGGTCAGTCAATCTGCATAGAAGTTCGTCTATGGTTAGGCTCTACATTAGTGGGGATAGAACTCCTCCTTGTGGACATTCCCTGGTTGTCCAGATGGAGATGGTGTCCTGCCCTATCTGTGTCTCTGTAGTTCTCGTAGATAATAGCTGAGGTATCCATCTGGATGTGATGTTATCTACTCCTCTGTATGCGAGTGCTCTTTTGACAGATTCGAGTGGCGTGCTGTCCAAAACTTCTTCTATGTCTAGAAAGGCACACACGAACGTTTCTTTGTTTGTCAGTGCATCCTGGATTACGTCAGTCAACTGTACCATGGCAGTTTCTGTAGATCTTTCTGCTCGGTACGCGTGTTGGCTGTGGTGGAGTGGCACCCTCTCCAGGACTTCCGTTCTGATATAATTATCAACAGCCTTCTCCATTGTTTTTAATACAATGAGGCTGATTGGTCGGGAGTATTTAGGATGTGTGGTATCCATTTTTCCTACTTTTGGAGTAAAGGTGACTCTGACCCTTCTCCATGCTTCTGGTATATATCCCAACTCCAGACTGCTCCGGGATAGCCGGATTATGTGTGGTAGTAATTCTTCCTGTGCCCGTTGCAGCAGGACAGGGAATATTCCATCCACACCTAAAGACTTAAATGGTTCAAAAGTGTTTATGGCCCACTTTAACCGATTTCTGCTGCATATGTGTTTGGCCACTACAGCGGCCTCTCTTGGAAGCCTGCTTACCTTAGTTGTGTCCCTTATTAGAAAAGGTGTACTTCCAGAAAAGGTGTACTTCCAGAAAAAGTGTACTTCCAGAAAAGGTGTACTTCCAGGAAAGTGAGTTTCGAGTAAGAGGCGAGCTTTTGCTCCTCACTCTCCGTGAAGCTTCCATTTGGTTTCTTTAATATCATAACTGTATCAACTCTCCCTTTAGCTAGGACCCTGTGCAGTCTCGCTGCCGCAGGTGTAGAGTTAATATCCTCTCAGAATTTTCTGAACCTGTTACGTTTAGCTTTTATGATTTCTTTGTTGAAGGTAGTAAGCACCTTGGTGTAGCTCTGCCAATCTCCGCTGTGCTTGGCCCTATTATAGAGCTTCCGCACTTTGGATCGTAAGTTTGACAGATGACGGTTCCACCAAGGAGCACCCTTATTAGTTCTATTTCTTTGAATGGGGCAGCTTGATTCATATGCCTCAAGTATTGCCCCATTTAGTTCTTCGAGATCGTTTTCCAGAGCAAGTGGGTGCCTGGGCCCCTTTTTTGTCTGTATACGAGCTAAATTTTGTTTAAGAATGGTGTTGTATTTGTCCCAGTCTGTTTTTATAGGATTCCTCCTGAGGATCGTCTCAGGAATGTCGCTCTCTAACGTAAACACAATTATCTTGTAATCAGATAGACTTATTGAGTAATTAAATGTCAAAATTTTGATAATTATGAAAAATTCATGGATTTTAAATATGCGTATACTGTTAAAGAGCAATAAACTATTATTCAGTAAAATACTTTATTAATAGTGCTTGACAAATCTCATAAAAATATATCTATCAAAAAGTCAAAATAAACAAAAACTTCTTATAACAAACAATATAGCATGTTGATTTGCATAATTCATAAATACCTAATATTAAGTTTGCACATTATCTAACATCTTCCCCTAATATTTCCACTTCTTTGGTTTGTTTAAACTTACCTCTTCATTATTCCACTTGTAGTAAGACCCATTCCCATAAACATAAACATAAAAAAACGTTTGATGTCCTGATCAACAAATTAATAACATCTAGCTACTTTATATAAAGTTGCATTTGGCTTGTACCATATTTTTGTTAACTGTAGTCCATTAAAAAAAAACTATTAGTTGGTATATTATCTATATCTTTTGTATGAGAGTCAACGATTAATTGAACCCTCAAAAAATTTTAATTATTAAAAGACAAAGACAATTTTGTTTAGTTGGTAGACACCAAAGTAAATTTCCGTTATGGTATTGTAAAGTGCTCTAGTGCATGTCAAAAAGGAAAAGAAATATAAAAGAATACACAGTCGCGTCGTTTATATGTGATGCGTCTGAAATTTCATTGCTAAATGGCCCGTATCTAATGAGTAAAAAGGAAAACACATTATCCATGAGCTGAACGGACGGAAAAGGAAACAAAGAAAAAGGACAAAATGAGAGTCCAGATAATACATAGACGAAAGTCGTTTACTAAAGCCGAGCGATGACGTTACATCTTATCTTATCGTTAAATAAAGCGAGCCTTAGATAAATATACACAGATAAAGGAATGGGGTAGATCAATTCAAGTGTCTCAAAATTGATTAAAATGGTGTGGGACTAAGCACATCTTGAACGAGTGGCGGTTGTTAAAGTAAAAAATTCGAAGATAAAAAGAATCGGTTTACAAATTTACATTTCAAGGAAGTGGCTACAGTAACATTAGTATAAACTGGCAGAATTACTCTCGATTACATACGAATTGATTATTTTGTAATAAAGTTAATTTTTCTTTGATTGATATTAAATATGAGTAGGTATATCTATTATTTTAGTGACATTCAACTATGACAGAAATATTCTTTATAATGGCTATATAATTAAAATTTGGTTTTGTTACCTATAGGTAGTAAAATTGACATTAATAAATAACGTAAATAACACAAAATTAAATAAAATACCTACTCTGTCTTATAAAAAAATATACTTCCGATTTGAACATAATAAAAATAACTCTGTAAAACTTTGTTTTTGATACATTAAACAAATCAATTTTTAAAATTAATTGGTGAGAATATTTTTTAATAAACGAAAAACTTAGAAAAAGATTTTTATAGGATTAGAATATTATCGAGAATTAATGAGAAAATAATAAATATTTTAAAAATGCAAGTAAAAGTATCTATTACTGAGGCCCTTCCTATGGGGCCTCAGTATTGCATTCGTGCAGACGAAAAAATTTTTTAAAACTTTTTTTTCATGTTTCTGATCATTCCGAGTCCGAAAATAAAAAAAAAAAAAATTCGTCTGGTCGTCTGTATGTCTATATGTATGTATGCCGGCACGATAACTCTAGAACGAAAGTTCTGATTGACTTGCGGTTTTGATTTTCTTGAAAAATTCCTTCCTACGCTTTCCTTTTTCTCCTCTTCTTCCTTCCTACGCCCTTCTTTTTCTTCCTTCTCTTCCTTTCTACGCCTTTCCTTTTCCTCTTCCCACCTTTTAACATTTAAAACAAATATTTCACACTATTTTTTTGAAAATTCGGCTCTTTGATATAGACCAACTATCAACACACCCACACACTAAGGCAAACCATATACGCTATTTTATGCACTTTATTAAAAGAAAAATTAAAAAAAAAATAGTAAAAATTATGAAAAACTACTAGGAATTACAAGTTTTTAATTCCTAGGGAGTAAAAGTGCCATTTTGGTCCCTAGATATTTATTCACTAAAGTGCATACATAAAATATTTTTAAGCATACTAAAAAAAATATTCTAACACAGTGGACCTCGGATTAAAATTATATAAAAATTCAAGAGACGCTAAAATGGTTTTCCCCACCTTATCGAGACTGAGGCCCACAAGGGTAAACTCGTAGCGTAACAAAAACGAGAAATGATTTAACTTGGAACGAAATACCGAAAGCCGATAGTAGTATTAGCACGTTGAATTTTTTGGTTTGTGAAGCATTGGCATTACTTAGGTGATGATTTTTACAAGCCTTGATTTTAAAAACCATTCTATATCGCCTTTTGATTAGGGTTTAAAAACTTGTTCGAGCAATTTATCCAATAATAATTGGCCCCTTTACCTCTTAGGCCTGCTCATGTAAAATATTTGGGCTCCTTACTTCGCCTATTTATATCCTATTAATAAAGGACAGAAGGATGAGTATTGCAACTATGTTAAAAGAAATAAATTGGCTTTCAGTTCAGAATTATGTTCAGTACATGACTGATATTTATTTTTAAAATAAAAATGACAGTACCATCGCATCAGATCTATTAGAAAAAATTCAATATAATTCGCAATATCACAACTATAATACAAGAAACCAATCTGACTTTCATGTACGGCAAGCCATCACTAAAAGTTCCCAAAATACAATTTTTAATAAAGGTTTAAAAAAATTTAATAGACTGCCTACAGAAATTAAAAAAAAACAATAAATGTATTCAAAAGTAACCTCAAACAATACTTGATAAATAAACAGAACGGATATACTTTCTTGTGATAATACTCTTTAAACCTGCCCTTTTTAAGTATTTCCCTTAATTTATTGTTATTTTACCCCTCGTTTTATCCGTATTTATTATAGATTATTTGTTTTGAGATCATGTATTTTATTTTAAAAAATTACTTTATGTTATATTAATACTGCTTACTATGTTTAAATTATTAATAGTTTTGCGACGATAAGTTGTAGCAACTTATAGCCACAAAACTATTTTTGTGTTAAAGTAGATCCATAGAGAGCAATGTAATTTACAAAGGCCTTCTTTCAACATACAAATAAATGACTTTATAATTAAAATGAAAAACACAACAAAATACCTCGGTATCATAATTGATCCAAATTTGAAATGGGCATTTTATCCTACCTCTCTTGTATATAATAAAAAAGTGCTTTGTATAAGAACATTATATCATCTGTCTTGCTGTACCTTTATTTATGGAAAGCCTGAATTGAGATATTTATTATTTGCAATAAATATCAAAAGAAGTATACATTTTTAAATAATTTGACATTTAAGAGCCATTCACATATCACAGTTGACATCTTGATACTTGACAGGCACAGCCAAGTATTATTCTGATTTTTGCCAAATAAAATGGCCGGTTAATTATTCTATTGGGTTGCGACAGAGAACCAGTAAATTTGATGAAGGTGTTTTTGGGGCTAGGGGCGCAATAGTAGTACGCGTAATAGCATTACCATAAAAAGTCATTTTTAAGAAACTGCTTATATATTTTTCATAAATTGGCAGGCCTGGCGACTAATTTCGAATGAAAATAGCCTCCAAAATGGCTATATGGTTGCAAGTATGAAGGTGGCAACCCGCCTTAGAAATTTCACCTTTACTATCAACAGCTGTTGTTTGACGACCTATCAGAGAATGTTTGCAATTTATGGAATGTAAACAATGTTAGGAATTTTGACGTTAGAAATATTTGGAATTTCTAAAATTTTCACATAAGGCGGATTTTAAGAAAATTGTTAATAAAGTAGTTAGGATGAACCGAAAATTCTGAAAATCAATAGGGTTCTAAGTTAGAAGTAATTATTCAAGAAAATCAAAACCGCAAGTCAATCAGAACTTTCGTTCTAGAGTTATCGTGCCGGCATACATACATACAGCCATACAGAAGGAAAAGGAATGGCGTAGGAAGGAAGAAGAAGAAGAGGAGAAGAGGGAAAGGCGAGAAGAGGAGACGAAGGAGAGGCATAGGAAAGCAGAGATGGAAATTATGAATGGCTTGCTACAAATTTAGGAAAACTTCAAGAAAGAGGTAGGAATAGATCTCTTAGAGCAACAACAAGATAATTTAAAAGCTAATTTAGAGCAACAACAAAACCTTTTTACCTTTTTACTTTGTATTATTCTAGTTAAAATTAATAGTTGTTTTATTGCCGTAATTATGGTTATGGATGCACTTATCGGCTTAGGTCCATTATTTCACTTTTTTTAAATTTCACCGACTTATACAATTTCTTATTAACTATGAAATAACTTTTTATTATTATAAATATATTCTATTTTAAAAGAGAAAATTTTCTTTAAAAAGACAGATGGTCAGTTGTTTACAAGGTCAGCCTAATGAATTGGATGATTATTCTGATATTCTAATATTAACAAACGATGAAATATACACCCTACATCAATAAATATATCATTATTCAAAGAAATTAATACTACGAAAAAGAGGAAGAGAAATAAGTACCACTGCAACTGTTCCAAATTTAAAAAATTACAAAACTTATTAGCCCCACTTTTGGCAATAAATTAACCCACAAGAGCGTCTTCTTTGTCTAGTAAATTTCTAGTATAATCGATTTCATCATCAAAATAATACAAAGTAACTACAAAAGAGGTATTTTAAATGATATTCTCCACCATAAAGTCATCATTTGATTTATTAAGTACTTTATTTTTGTTCCCTTATACACCTACATATGAATGTTTAAAAGACGGAACAATAAATAAGAATTTAAAAGAAACGTTGCGACTTTCTGGCCATTATCAAGTTACAGACACGGGCTAAGGCCGTAAAACAGTCCATTATTGTGACATTTCAATGAATCGCACCTTCTAAACTGTCACTTTTATTGCCAGAAAGACATCAAGTAGCCTCAAGTCATAAACATAAACAAGTGAACCTCCAAACACACCTGAAACGTTCTCACAATCACAATCACAAACCCTACAAGATGAAGTTAACGATAATAGAGGAGAAGTGGAGGTTCAAATTTCATTGCACACATTCTGTGTTGCGTATTCTTCATAGGATCGGACTGGCAATTTCGGCTACAAGGAAATTGCGCCAAATTTAATTTAAATAAAGTGACAGCCATTTAATAGGACTAATTTTACTTGAGAATTATAAATAAAAATATTCATTATAATTCTTTCTATATGAATTAATTTTCAGTAAGTTTATTTTTAGAAAATATAGTTGTAATTTAACTGGAGTATTAATTAAGACTTAAAAATCTCTTGA